TATGAGTGCTGTCTGGACAGGTGCCCCTTTAAAAGGAAGGCATATCAAACTTTGCCAATTTTTATGGTTGCAGTTTTGGAAGATAAAAGGAAAAAATATTACTCACCTGATTAAATCTTACCGGTAAACTCCCTCTGAAAAGACTACGGCACAATCGTTCACTCGTCTCCGTGGATTTGGCGTAGATGAATTTACTGAGCCCAACTAGTAAGACTAAAGTTAACAAATTTATACCCGCAACCCGGAAAATTTGTATGATCTAAATTTATCGTCACATTGTATTTTGCCGTTAGGCTTTTGTTCTTTTATAATAAAACGAAACTAAATGAGACAATAAAGTGTGGGAAGAACAAAGAGCAACTGTTAAAAGAATGCGGTTGTCTATCTATTTATACAACAGGCAGCTTTATGTCTTTTGTCCCTTTTGAATGAGAAAAGTGGTTCAAATAACCGATCTCAACAATTACACTTCAACTCGTTTATTTTCGATATAACCACTGTCTCCTTGCAATTGGAAGGATTACACTCTACTGGAAATATTTGTTATAGCTATTGGCTTGGAAGACTAAGAGGTTGTTATGATTTTGTTGTTTTTAAATAAGGCTGTTCCAGTCGGGCAGTTTTTTCCTTGATGCGTGTGCCGTGTTGTCGTACAAGGTCTGACAAGGTCGGCTCGTGGCTCATTGTCAGAAATTGCTAGAATATTACAATGCGTTAAACATTTTGTGCCGAGCATGTTTCGTTAACCGGGAAAAGGAGTTCAGATATTCGAACATAATACTGATTTCCTTGATGTTTCTTTCCTTTTCAAATGTCCTCTTGGAAGGAGAGTGTCATTCTATTGAAACCATTGTGACTCTTGTTTTTTGTTTGGAATCTGTTGAGGTTGCTTATTTTCCTTATTAATTTTTGTGGTTTTTAAAAAAAGCTGTTATAGTTGGATAGTTTTTCCGGGATGATAGTGGAGCAATTGTCGCATAGGGCTGGCTTGTGTCTTTAATGGGATTGTAAGACTATTTTGATTCTTTGATTCTCAGGCTTTCGGGTAGAATTGTTATCCGGCACAAGACTGTTAACTTGAAAAAGATAGATTGGAAAATGATTTACTCTTAGCGAATTAAGGTTACATTAGCTGTTTAATCAGCCTTGTACCTAGAATGCGACGAAGCATAATTTAGTTTAAGTAGTGTCGCTAAAAAGTGGTACTTGGGTGAAAAAAACCTCTTTCTAATCTTACTCTATACTTGTAGTGACTTTGTAAACTTAAGTTAAACATAAAAACCCTAGATCAAATCACAAACCATGACCTTTAGAACCCGTTGAAGTAAACTTCTGTTTCCTGAGAGGTCCGCTAGAAAGCGCCGAGCCTTCAGAGTTTGAGCGACGTCGCAGCAAGACCCAAAATCCTAAGACGTTTTTGACATGGCAGGTCGCGTTATCCGAAACAGCTGTAATACCACCTTTTGTACCCGTGAACATGCAGGAACAATAAATACCTCTGAGAGAATTTCCTTGGCTTTTTTATGTTTGGCTTATCTATTGAAATGTCCGTCTAATCAGGTCGGGGGGAAGAAAGAGGGGGGGGGGGTGGGGGGCGATGGGTTACTCCCGAGAATTCGTTCCTATACAGGGAGGCTGACTGTCCCGCCCGAGAGGAATACCTTTTTCACTGGCTTCAGGAGTCATTTAGGTATTTAAAGGGGCCTTAAATTTAATATATTTCAATCAGACCGCCTTTTTTGAGCTGTTTTTTAAATTTGTTTTGGTGCTATCAATTTCCTTCCAAAGGGAAGCAGTTTTCTTAAGTAGGTATTTGAAAGGGGTACCGTGGAATAAAAAAGGGATTGGATATCAGTGCGGAGCGTCCTCGTGTTATAAACTTTGTTGAGTAGTCCTCCCCCGGGTCTTAAGTTTTTGCCATCCTTCCCCTCTCTTGGTGAAAGATCGGTGATCCGTGCAAAGAAAATTTGGCAAAGTCTTCATGAACAGTATTACATGCCAACATAGCTGGGAAAAGGGAAAATTTCTTTTCAAACCCATCAAAGAAAAAAAAATTATCTACATATATTTTTATCTCTCAGAAATGTGGCTACGTTGTACCAAAACATCGCCGCTGGTGCTTCTCTTTTTTCCTGTTTTGATCTGCACTTTTTGAATATTTTAGTCGGCGTGCATGCAAAGAAATGACATTCTTCAAGCGGACCTTTCTGTTCAAAAATGTCGAGAAGATTTAAAGATTACGAATAATTCAGAGAATGGAATATGTTGAGCAGATAGACATGCTCATTGGTCGATTTTAGGGTGACATTACGTCGCGAGAACGGAGCGATTATAGTCACTATAGGCGCGAGTCAATTTTTAAACGAGTGCGCGGCCTTTGTGCAAAATAAAAAGGGACAAGAATACAGCTGCAGGAGAGCATACATATGGCGCCGGACATTGATTTCAGTTTGTCTTTTTACTCAGCTGTTTTAGCAACCTACAGCAAGTCTATTCTTTTGCACAGTTTGTGTTCCTTCAAGTTGTTTGTTTATTTCTTCCTTAATTCCTTAGGGAACATAACCTAGTAAGTAAACTCAGAATTGTAGAGGTGAGCAATATAGCAAAAAAGTACATTATATGCCAGTTAAAATGGATGAGCAATATTTCTTTGTTTAGAGACTGTTCTCAAATTGTTTGGTGGAAGAGTCTGGAATTATGCAAATGTTACCTGAAATACACCGGAATTCGAGAACTGGATGTAATTATGATTCTTTAGGCCTCTTTGCACGGTTCTTTTAGGATGGGAACAGTCTGCTGGAGCACTGAAATACTAACCCTCTCGTTGAAGCCGAAAAAAAAAAAAACATTAATAAAGTGAAAAGTCTGAAACATACCACTGTTTTGAGCTCAGATGTTTTGTACTAAAATTCAAGTTCCTTTCAGAATGAGAACGCCATGCGGCTTATTTTGTTTCTCGTTTTTCCGCTTTCGTTCAAATTTTGCCAAAGGGTATATTAATCAATACGTTTGTAGCTTGGGAATTAATCAACGTCAACTGGGTGATGAAAGCGCTGGCTTTTATCACGTATCAAGGAGGAAATATCAAAACGCCCCTCACTCAGGTCAGGGCCACCCAACGACTGTTTTCTGTGAAATATCTGTTCGGAGAAGCAGATGATGCCTAATTAAAAACTTTCTTCTGCTTTTAAGGACGGCTAAAGATTTTTAAATGACTGTTCCATTCCTGTACAATTAATTTTAATTTAGAAGCTTAATATATAATAACTTCGCTACGATTTTATAAGTTTAATTTTTCACATTTCACTACCCAGGTTAGGCTATTTGTCGTAAAAAGAAGGAAACCTATTAACTTTTCGGATTCAAAAATGGGATGGACAGAGGAATCAGTAAAAATCTTACTTTCGTGCAGTGTAATTTCGAAAGACTCAAGTTCCCCTAGGATGACCGAACCGATCTAAATTTTATAGCGCCGCTTAGAATGCATTTCTAAAGATCTAAAAGTACTCTGGATAACCTAAAAAGTGTTTTTAATGGATTAGGAGGAAACCGTCGTTGGGTGTCCCTGACTGCAAAAGAGCGAGAACAAATATAAATGGGTTTTATGAAATTAGTGCTCATTAGCACTAATTTCGACACCTGTGAAAAATTAAGCCAAATTAAGCAAAATTAAGCCAAATGTTCCTTGTGCCTTTAATTCGGCCGTTTATCTAACACTGATTAGGACGCTACAGCCACTGTTCCTTTCATTAAAAGACTGCAATCGTATTAAGGCAAGCATAAACAGGCTCTCTTACTAGTGAGAGATATGACGAAAACGCAAGAAAGCACAAAGATAAGGGAATACAGACGGAGAAGAAATGGGAAGAAAAAGGAACAGGAGAGGAGTCGCACCCTACCCCCAACCCTTTTCTCTCTCCCTAACTCCCAGGACACTGTTCACAGACAAGAGTCGGCGGTGTTGGTGTTTTTTCACCAAGGTATTGGTGAACTCATCATCAGAAGTAGCCCTAGCCTGTTACAGGCTCCAAGATAGTGGTGAAGAGTCGTTCAATAAAAAGGACGGTGTAAAACGAAATGCGAAAAACGCGCGGGGGCTAACCCTAACCCTAACCCTAGCCTCTCTCCCAGTTTTCCGCCGCCACCGCCCCATTTCCCAAGTCGCGCGCGTCCTATTTTCGCTCTGCTCGTTTTAATACGTCCCCACTAAGATTTAAGACAAATTTAGGTATTCTGTACCGATCAGGAGCTTTCGGGACAGCCCATAACAACCATAAAGCAACAGTGATAATTTATCATTTCAGCACCATTTTTTATTTATGCATTTTGAGAAGAATATGGGTGCATCGTTAACTTGTGTCATATGGAGTGAGCCCCCGCGAAGTGGATACAATACGCTGTTTGACAAAAACCTACTTTGTTATGAAGAAGGCATCCTTGATTATTACAGATCTGCTACTGAAACTATTACACAAACGGACTGGCTGTGTCACGAAATTTATTCAGAACAAACGATGGGAGCAACTTTCAATTTACCACTCAAAACGTTAAAAGAAGGTATAAATAACAAAGCATTTACAAATGGAAGCCAGATGGTCAAATTTGAGGGAGGATTGCAATTGTAGGTTTTGAAAACTTGTTTCCCAATAGTTTTTCAAAGTTCATTTTTGTTGTTTGTTACGTTTCGGCTTGGGAGACACACATTCGTTCGACACGAAGCTTTCGGTGTTTGTGTAATTTACAAGCAAAATTTCCAAGATCTATGGCGAAAACAATATGAACTAGACAGCCGTGACGTCACAGCCCCTTTCAGTGTAAAAATCAAACGTCACATCTCACCGATCAAAAGAAAAGAAAAACTCGAAAATATAATTACAATTCGCTCACGAAGGGTGTCATGACTTTCTGTGCAGAATAATGGTATACATGTATGTTTCTTCTAACCTAAATGCAGTCTAATTGAAAGCCATATGATAAGCGAGTGATTATGCGTTCTTCATTTAAAACTCATCATGCGTGTCTTCAGGTTCGTCGCTGTATACAGAGTCACTGTGCAGGAAAAAAAAAACACGGATACATCAACGGTTACAAAAACGCTTTTGAGAGAGTATCCTATTTTAAAATTTAAATTGCCTGCCCTCGTGAAATTATAACTTAAAAATTAGGAAAATGACTCTTCCCTCCCACCTCCCTCTCCCCTTACTGCGGCGTTGGATCGCGAGAGGTCCGTTGCTTGAGTATCATTGAACAGATGCAAACAAACATTGATTATCGTATTTGCTCGATTAAATGCCGCGCCTAATGAGAAGAACGGGGCGTTTATTCGAAGATAATGAGAAAAGAAACTCATTTTAATAAAGATATGATCGTCGCAGTGGTAATTGTAATTAACCAATTGCAAATTAACCCCCCCCCCCAAAAAAAAAAAAAAAAAAAATTCGGAACTTCAGCGGGATTCGAAACCATGACCTCTGCGTTAGCTCTGCAGTGCTTTACCAACTGAGCTATGAAGACCAATACATTGGGAGCGGGCCAATTTGTTGAGTTTATCTTAACCCGTGCAAAAAATGAAACAACTTGCAGCTCGGTAATAAACACCCTTCCGGACGGTTACGATTTTATCTCGGCAGGCAAGCGAGACTTTGAACGCCTTTCTGTTTTACGTAATATTTATGAATGATATATCGTAACTGCTCGATCAGTGATATAAGAACTGAGATTTTGAAATTATAAAGTAATAAACATCGCGGCGTTTAATCGAGTTAATACGGTATAGGGAAGTGGTGAAGGTCACGACTTCTCTGGTTGTCTTAGCTTGCCTACCTGGCGGAATTGTTTTTGCGCGTGGCCGCCATTAGAGAGTGTTAGATCCTTGTTTACGGCGAACCTCTAACCGCGGTTGGCAGTTCGACGTTCAAACATAATTCGATTTAGATTGGTGGTGGATTAAAGAAGTGAATTCTGGTTTATTTTTCCATTTAGAAATAGCAGAAATATCAATCAGTGAAAATAAAAGAAATTTACGGAAACACTGGGTTATCTAGCAGCAAAGAACTGTAAATTCTTACATTAGTTCTCGCAAATTTACGGCCGCCATTTTGAATCAGCAGCCATGAATGGCACTTGTTTTCAAGATCCAATAGGATTTATCAAATTTAGCATTTCGCCCGAATCTGTGCCTCTGTTAATGGATAAAGACTTGCTCCACATGATTTTTGTATCATTACGTGAGATAAGACAAGAATTATACGCTAAAAGCTTTCAGGTAAATGACCTACGTGAAAACCTACCTCCCCACGTTGAAAACGCACGTCGTAAACCTCAAACGTGACGCGAAAGACTTGTCACGTGACCTCCAGCAGTTAGAGGTTCGAGGTAAACTCGGATCTAAGACTCGCTATTCTCGCCGCATGCGATTAAAAGAAATGAACAGCTGTCCTTTCTCTTACCTCGATGGACAATCTGTAGTCCATGCTTTAAGGTTTATCTTTGGCAATTCGTCGCAACTGCACCTTACCGAAGACTGCATCAAAGCGTCTTTTTGAATTGAGGTAATGTCATCACTGTTATCGCATATTATCCTGGAAAAGCGTGTTTTCCTGATTTCTTTTAGCTGACAACGGTTGAGTGCTGTCTTGTCGGTGTTTAAGGTTGCGTTAGGTGCGTTTTCATGCCAAAAGCGATCTCCGATTTTGGTGCGTTTGAACTGATTTGCTAAAATGCACTGAAATGTTGCACTGAGTTCACCTCCTTTAGGATCACTTGGTTCAAGCATTCCTGAGAAGAGATCGAAGTAGCAAATGAAGTTTACTTTTTAATAAAAAATTAGGTGAGTCTAATTCAATAGAAATTGTTGTAAGTTTTTCTTTCTTTGTGCTGCATTTCAGCCCCAAATCTGACCAGGAAAAAAAAAGCCAAAAACAAACAACAACAACAACAACAACTGTAAACTGCAGGCCTGTTCACACTCAGGCATAATGTATGCGCTTTCCCATCAAAATATGGAAAAAATATTCCAATCGTGGATGCCTACGAAGATTTTTGCTATATTTGGGACTGAGTGGAGTTAGTTTAAACACGAGTATATATGATTACAAACCGAACAGGACGACACGAAGTTCTGTTACCAATTAATCTTAACTATACAAATTTGTGATGTTTTAAGTCTTTTTTAGAGAGAGTTTTTGCTACCAGTGAAAAAAACAACTAGACGGCGAACAGTCTCTTATTTTTCTTTGCAAAGTTACTGCACGGGAAACCCAAGCCACGATAAACCAGGGCGTAAGCCACAGAGGAAAAAATAAGAGACTGCTGACTCTTTTTATTCTGTCTGGGTACAACGAAGCGGTCAAGGTAATTTAATTAACCAATCTGAACCCGAGTAACTTTAAACGATTTATAAATAGTACATAAACAACTGAACAATTTTACTCTTTTTTATAATCCGGTAAGATTACCTTGAATTCCTTTCCCTTGAGGAAATTCACAGCAGTTTCCTTCCGTAAGATATCGTTAAACGGCTTACAAGCGATTACCGCCAGGTTCGTAATTGTTCGTGGTTAGTTGTAACGCGTGACTATTTTTATCACTTGCGTCTGCACCACAGACCAGTCAATGATCTGCCAAAAGCTGTAAAATTGACCAATCGGTTACTTCGTTTCGTTTGTTTACTACAAAAGAGTTCGCAGTCCATCTTTTCTCGTCTGGTTCCAATCCCTTATTGTAACATAACGTCGTGGTTTGCAATCGCGCTAGCTGAGATAAGAACTAGACGGATTTTAGAGAAAAGGGGGACCGCAAACAGTCTGAAAACAACAAAACATTCAAATGCGCTCGCGATTACGCGCACTGTCCAATTTCACTGTTCTATTAGAGCTGAAATCAGAACGGTTGATAGCCAATTAGATTTCTTCGCAGATGTAATTTAACTATAGTTTCGTTTCGTCTGTAGTGCAGGCTAATAGCCAAGCAGATTTGAGAATTTTGTTATAGTTATGACTATGGGAGGAATGTGATTGTTACTCCAGACTTACCTCCGGTGAACAAGTCTACATCCTGAACTCTCTTGTAAACTTTTTCCAATATGGCAACGACCTTTTTGTCCAAACCGGCAACCGTTACCAAGTCAGAGAAATTGCTAACGAGGGGAAGGCCACAAACGCGGCGAAACCTGGTGTAGCTAGGCAGTCCACGATCATGCCCTCTTCTAATGTTAATAGCGATTAAGTCAGACGTATCACCTTCACCGCGACTTAGGTTTTCTTGGACTGAAGTTGAAAAACGCCTGTACGACAAAACAAGCAAACAAAATTAATCAGTAAGTAAAATAGAAGGAGGGCGCATAAATATAGTACATTGCGCGCGCAACCTACAGTTTAGTCAACCTCGTCTACAGGACTAACCTATCTGTAGGTTGCAGTGAATTCGGTGATTTCCTAACTATAAACTCGTACCCAAAGCGAAGAAAGATAGTGAGTACAGTGTATAATAAAGGCGCCGATTGCATCTATTCATCGCCTATGCAGAGTATGTTGTAACCACTTGATTACCATAATCAAAGTGAAAGCTTTTCAAGGGTCTTCAAGGTACAGAAAGAACGCAGTACAATTCCTTGAATTTGGCTATAATAAAACCTCCTCTAACCCGCCAAGCGTGAGCTCGGATCCTTCGAACTGACTCTAAATTATCTCTTGCAAAGTTTTGTGAATCCGCGCGAATCGGTGTTAAACCTATCAGGCTCACAACTATGCATACCCTAAAAGTAACACTGAACTTTTCTCCTTAACAAGCAAATTAAACAAATCAAAAGGACTGCGTGTACGTGCATGCGATAACTTCACTTACCCGTCAGCTTTCGCTGCAGGATCTTTAAGTAAGCCCCTCAAAATGGCGTCGACGCCTCCTTTAAATACAGAGTACAAGGGTGCTGGGTTGTTAAAGTCCAGTACTGGGATTGGCTGGAATTGTAATTTGTCTTTGCTACATTTGCTGCATTTGTGTTCAAAGCCATCTTGAGAGAATCGATTGAAAAGCTCTTGAACCAAACTGTGGCCAAATCGATATCCAGCTACGGCAAAGGCTGTTAATATTTGCGCATTGACCTCTTTGTCATAGCCTGTGAAATACTCCTCTCCCTCAAGAAGCACAAGACCAAATTCTTTTCTCTAAATAGTGGTGAAAGTAAACAAACATAGAATAAACCTTTTTTGTTATGTAAACGGATGCAATATAACATTGTTTGCGTTTTATGCATAATCACTCGTAGAGCTAAATACAAATGTAAAGAAGGAGAGTATTCTGTTAGAAGTTAAATGTAAATGGTCGAAAAAGGCGTCTTTATTTTAGGTTTAGTAGCTCGAAATAATCATCATCTGGCTTACAATCCTGAGTCCTGCGGTGCACTTATTTACCTTATTTACCTTTCTCTCTCCGCCATTGCTTCATCATGATAATGCCAATTACTCGTCTTTGTTCGTTACTCGAACTTAAAAAAATTACTTGTGAATGACAAAATCTGGGCTTCGAGTCAAACAATTAAATATGTCTTTTAAGCATTAAATCAAACTATATCAAACGTTATAAACAACTAAAAGTGAACTTGAATGTATTGAATAACATGAAAAACTGTTAAGCTAACAAGTTTTAAAAACCACAATTGTCATCCGGCGTTTCAATCTTCCTCAAGTGTATTGACTATGTTTATGCTTTCTTTTAATATTTTGATTGGTTATTTTAATTTTTAACTCAATTTGGTGGCACTTCCCCCCCGTTTTAATTGTAATAAATTTCGTGACAAAGCTCTCACGAAGCCACACGGAAAGAGAAAGAGGTCTAAACGAAGAATTGAGCTCAGCCCTGGGAATTTAAGTCGGGACCTCTGCCACAGAAGACCGCGCCCCCAACCCGGCAAGGAGCCTCTTAAAGAGCTGTGGGTAAATTTTTTAAGTTTTAAATACCAAATTTCTAATCGAGTATAGTATGGTTAGAGCTCCCCTTCTTTTGAGTAGTTACGTGGCGAATTCACTGTTTTTATAGCGGCTTTTTAGAGTAACGAGTTCGGATCTCTTGTTTACAAGAGAAATAGTTTAAGAGCACTGGGCTTGATTGGAATTTGCTTGTCTCCGTTTATTTCCTCTCCTCAACGAAAAATTTTCGTTTCTCCCACATGTCAACTCTCTACTTGAGGCCACTCTGGTAAGCAACCGCTCCGCTGACCACTTTTGTTAATGACCGACTGGATATCAGTTTCTTCTCTGTTTCTTTAGTTTCATGTTCGCCCACTCAGGCAACACCCGAACTGAACAAATTAACTTCTTGCTCAAATTCAGGGTTATACGCAATAGGAACGCCAACGGCTTAATACTGTATTATCTTCGAAAACATCGAATGTGATAAGTAATAAAATAAAGCTGTTTTATCATTTCATCAGACTGTATTTTAGTCATAAACAACAATGTGCTAATATAAAAGTGGTCTAGGCGAGCGCATTCATTTGCCACATGGTCACTTGGAGAAGTTCATTATCGTTCGCTGAACCAGAAAACGACTTTTTATCCGAGGTGGTCGCTTACGGGAGCCAAATGACTGTATAATAAGTGCCGTCAGAAAAACAAGTTCTTTGCAGACAGGAAGAAGAACACAGGCACCCAAGGACTGTTTTCTGTAAAATATCTTTTCGGAGAAGCAAATATTTGCCTAGAATGACCGTTCCATTCATGCCTGACAATTTTCGAAGCTTATCTAATAAATTCCCTACGATTTTCTAATAAAAGTTTAATTTTGGAATTTTACGTCCCAAGTTAGGCTATTTGTCGAAAAAAGGAAACCTAAAATTGTCGGATTTAAAAATGTGATGACGAGAGGAATTAGAAATGTCTCACTTTCGTAATACGTTAAATTTCATCTAAAATTTTCGGGAAAATGATACTCAAGCCCTTGTAATTTCGAAAAGACTCAAGTTCCCCTAGGATGACCGAACAGATGCAAATTTTACATCGATGCTTAGAATGCATTTCTAGAGATCTAAAAGTACTTTAGATAGCCTAAAAAGTGTTTTCTATGTATTTATGAGGAAACCGTGGTTGGGTGCCCCTGGAATGAGAAGCGCCGCTCTAACCTTCCTTGAATTCAAAGTAATTGACATTTAAAACAGAAACCTACTCATGTACTTTCGACCTCGTTAACACGGGTCGGGACAAAACGCTTTGAACGGGGGACGAATTTTTACTTGTGCAACCTGTGTTACACGGAACGTTCCAATTTCTGTTACAGATTGCAGTACCGTTTTGGGTGTTCAAAACAATCTGAAGGACGATTAGTCCTGCGAATAAAGTACAACTAACATGTTATGCTTTCTGGAAATTTTTAAGGCTCGGAAATTAGGCATGGGATTTTTTTGGGGGGGTTTACTTGTGGTCCAGGAATTTTTTGGGTTTTGATTGTTGCCCCCATACGATCATCCCCGTCACTTGAAATCTGGGGACATGCTAAAAAGGTAGGGTGCAGCTTTGTAGAGACCTACCGTGTGCTCACTCAAAAGTAATGGCAGGAACTCGCCGAATGTTATGATTTGTAGCTCTGCTCCGACGATTCTTCTGGTTTCTTGATAAATCTTTTCGGGGTCCCAGTCTGTATTCTTTATGAAAAATGTTGCGATACGGTTGTGTTCACGCACGAAGATAGTATGGACCGAATTTAGACCTGTAGGTTTAGAAATATTATTATGATAATTAGTTTTTCTTTGTGTACTGAGTAAAGTACCCAAGGACTTGGTCTTAATTTTTGCACATGTTTGTTGTACTGTACGGAGAAAGACTTGTATAATTAGTAATAGTATTTTATATGGGAAAGATGAATTGTTTTTTCATGCAGCAGCATTTAAGGTTGCGGGAGCTTTTAATCATTACCCTGCAGAAAACGGAACTTACTGGATTGGAGCAAAAATGATGAGTTACTGGAAATGTACGTACGCATGCAAAGGACCTAAAGTATCAACCTAAACTTAGTCCTATCTTTCTCAAAAGTTTCATCGAGGGAGATGAATTAATTCCTGATTTCTCTGTTGTTTTCCTCAAAGGAGGTTTGTGCGAAATCGGTGATAACCAAAGTATAGGGTTTTTCGTCCTGTTTTAATAGTGTAACGTTGCGTCACTGGAGGTATGAAATATTGCTCGAGGAAATTACTTATCTCACGAGTTTTTGTCTTTCTTTCTTTTTCTTTCTTTTTTTTCGCGAAAGGAATTAAAGGAAAAGTGTTTCGTGACATGAGGATACCCTGGGTATCAGAGGTTTTTTCTTTCGCACGATGATCAAGAGCAGCGGAGAAGTCTCGGGGTCGGCGGCAGGCCGTCACGTCTTCGGTCGAAAGCCGAAGCCACGAGCGGCGAACCAAGAAAGCGGAATCTGCGCAAGAAAAGTCTCTGACACCCAGGGACCTCAGAGAGATGAATTTATGTGGATGGCTCCGCCTATCTTACCAGGGTTCTCATTGTTTCGTATGTCTCCGCTGAAAAAACATGGTTCAAAAAAATTTCTTGTTGGGCAGAAACCGTCGACTTGAGCAGGCAGTAAGCTTTTGAATTGGCAGCCATGTGGATGCTTCATGACCAACAGGAGGCCGTCTGCAGCACGAAGTGATTCAGCAATCTCGTCAGTTGATCCATACACGTTAGATGCGTCAATATAGGCTGTTATTGTGTTCGGATGTTCTCGAACTTCTAGTTTGCAAAAAGAATCTGGTTTGATGAAAGCCTCTCTCTCCATTTCAATAAATTTAATATATCTGTCACGGAAAATCATATCGCTTTTGGGAATATGAATGTTGATACATTCAGGTTCTTCCTTGTCCTCGGGTGGCTCACAGTTAACTCCCTGTGCCTCCGCCAGCGACAGGTCGTGGTCCATGAACTGTCCAAAGTTCATGGCCAGATGGGACAGTACTCTAGAATTAGGATTTAAGCCATCTGCGTTGCTGCCGTGAACTTTGAAACTTACTTCTCTGGTGTTTGGAAGTGGGTGACCAGTCACTGATTCTCGAAGGGTTGAGATGCAATCCCCATAATCGGCTGGTATAAGTCGTTCGAATTTTGTGTTGATTGATCCAAATTCTGGGTTTTTTAGGTTGTTGCAGGTTCCATTGATTGTGCGATATTTGGCGTCCTCATCACATTCTATGGATTCCTCTTCTTCAGGCATAATTCTCATTGCTCGCCGGAGGATGATTCTTTTACACCTTCTAACTTGTTCTCTCCTGTTAGAAGATAATAATATTAGGAGGCTGTAGAAAGAGACCTGTTTGGCGCTGGTCTTAATCTGTTTTAATTTTATGAAACTAGAAATTAGTTATCCAACAGCGATGGGAATCTTGGTGCGCTTCGACGTTTGTGCAATCCTTAGCAGTACTGTAATGCCTCGTTTAACGGAAAGGGAGCCACCCTCCCGACTGAATCAACTTTAAAAAGCGTTTAAAGTCCACCTCTTTACTTGAGCCTCGAACTGAAAACAGCGCCTACGCATCAGATTGGCCTAGTTGACTCCGCTGGGGGAGTCAAAGTGTTTATATGGAGAGAAGTTGTACTGACTAGGAGGGTGACCTTGACATCGAAAAAGGGTGACACAGCTAGACGGGTCACCTTTCTAGCCGAGTCAACGTTTCTTTTCTTATGAATTTGATAAGCGTGCGATATGTGTGCTGTGAAACAGTGCAGCCTGATATTATTGTTAGAAAAGTAATTTATTATTTACAATCTTCCACTCGCGCTTGTAATACGAACCCTGATTAAACTTTCTTTTAGCCGTAGTTGGCTATCTAGCATCTCATTTCTGGCCCATGCTCTTGAAACAAAATACCATACAATAGTGAGCTTAAGCAACGGCGTTTTTGAGCAAAGTCGTATGTCAACCGGAAGTGGACGTTTTGCATTCTTGGGCAGTGGTTTTCCTTGGGTTATAAGCCTGAATAAGAGTAAAAACACTTTGCAATACACGTTTAGAAGTATCAAGGCATACAAAAAGTTTCTTCGCTAATAAAAAAGTTCTTTGCTTAAGCTCCCTAACGCCCGAAAGTAGCGGTGATTGTCACAGGCAGCCGAAGCTCTTGGAATATGTCCTATAAAAGTGAAGAGGAAAGAAATAACCTCTTCGAAATTAGGGGAAATAACATCGTGTTATGAAAAGAAAAGCCCATCGCAATGGGTTGACTTCCCCTGGGGGTACTACGGATTTCAAGTGAGGGAGATGATCGAAGGATTTTTTTGGGTTTGAGATTTTCCATTCCGGCATTTTTTGGGGTAGGAAAATTTGGCAAGTATTTTTTTGGAGGTACTCAAAACAATGTGAAGCGTCGTGGCAGTGCCCGCGTATCTCGGCCGCGTAGTTCTGCGAATAAAGTTCAACCGAACTTGTTTTGCGGCTGTTTTATTGTTGCCCCCGCATTTCGCCCAGAATGGGAAATCCCAAGAAGGCACTTTAGTAGCTCGCTCGTATATTAAGAAAAGTACTTACACGGTTGAAATATACAGCCAGTATACCAAAAAAAAATCTCGATTTGCTTGAACAGGGGCAGCATGGAATCGTTGGGTAATGATGACGTTTGTTTTGTTTGCGCCCGCAAGTTAGAGATGTTTCAATGACGTAAAACAGAAAATCCGGAAGGGACCCGTTACTAATAGGTAGATTTTGTGACACTTATTGTACAGTCATACTTCGATACTCTTTTGCGTTACGTGTTATCAGCGACATTCTGTGGAGCAGCTGTTTTGAAACTTATGGACCAAAAGGACACTCGTTAAGCGCAGATGAAGTTATAACAAGGTGCGTATAACTGTATATATATCAGTAAACACTTGTTTACCAGACACGAGTTCCCAATTTCTTAGATTGGAAACAATTTGACAGACTCTCTTTCTCTCTCTTTGGTGGAAGAAGACCCAGTCCACAAACAAGCAAGACGATTGAATCAACGGCTAGGTTATCACTAGCAGAACGATGGACGATTACAGAAATTCGCCGACAATTAAATTCCGTGCTGACTTATTCCCTACTTACAGATGTCCTTCTATGAAGTTTCGGGAAAAAGACTAGAACGCGCGAGCGTGAATTAATCAAACCTTTGAATTTCTAAGGTTTACATTCCTGCAAATAAAATGAACAGTATGTAAAAAGTGATAGAGAAATAGCGAAAAATTGCAACTTCTAATTAAATCTTTTTTTATGGTTTAGAATATTATGGTTTAGAATAAGAATTATTTTGAATCGAAACTGAGAATGTTTTAATCAAAGCTGTGTAAGTCGAAGTGAATCAGTGCTGGGAACTTTTCTTTTCCTGTTTTTATCTCACCTACTGTATGGAATATGTGAGAAAATCTTCATTATGAATCGATATATTTGAACCGGAGCTACACAACGACCAATCATACTATTGACCGACAATATACAGAGCGGGGGCAGCTGCAGTGTCAACTATTTAAAAATTATTCCTCGAGCCCCAATGGGTTCTGAGTCAATAGCCCATGAGGCCGAAGGCCGAATGGGCTATTGACTCAGAGGCCGTGAGGGAGAGAGGAATAATTGTTTTAGTAAAATCCAACTAGTTGGTTAAAAAAATATCGAGACAAAACAGCTTTGGCTAGTTAACGCTAGACTTTAATCCTTTTTTGCCGCCAAAAGCCGGCGCTTTTCGCCACTTGTGGGCTATAACATATAGCCTAGTAGTAGCTCAACCAATCAGAACGCAGCATTAATAATAGACCACTAGCTGGATTTTACTAAAATGCATCACATTGCATCTGGAAATTTTTAAGGCTCGGAAATTCGGCGTGGGATATTTTGGGGGTTAATTTTTGGTCCAGGGTTTTTTGGGTTTCGTTGGAAGCCTTAAGGATTGTTCGGGTTTTGATTTTTGCTCTCATTCGATAAACTCCGCCACTGGAGTACCCCCCTTCCCCCCTGGGGTTGACTTAGGTATAATCTAAAATTACCTAGTAAATAAGAATGAAACTTCTATGTCTATTCAACCTATTAGTAGGAGAGTTTACTTAGTTTACGTCTGGAATGGTAAGGTGTTTTTTTTTAAATTGAGAATTCCAGCAATTATTTATCTTCCTGGATCTTTTACCTAAATTCCCATACAGCCAAGCTCATTTGGAGGATTACGCATATAAGACCACTCGTAGTTATGATGAGAGTTATGATTGAAGGTTAGGCTGCGTGTGGTTGAATAGGCATATAAATTTCATTCTTAGATTTATGTAACTTTAGAATAAGTCAACTCATTGAAATGTTCCCTTCTTCTCATTACACGATTTTATGTGTAATTATTTTGATTTTTCCTTCTTACCTCTTCAATTAGGTGTATACCATGACATGTAGGGTTTGACATTTACTCTACCAAACTACTATAATCATTCCCCTTTAATGTACACGTAGGTTAAAATTAAGCCTTAGTAAATTTAAAAGTGTATGTAGATGTAAATATGTTGTACTCACTCAGAGAGGCTGGTGTCAATACCCAACAGTTGCCGAATAGATGTGTCGTTGCACAGAGTATTCAGAACACATGCGCTGCATTTTTCGCTCTTCGCGGCAGCATTATACTGCTCGTCGGTCATAAAATTCTTGCTTCCGTGCTGAAAAGCCTGATAGTTTGGTCTCAAGGATGATTCTCTTTCCGCCTCTAGATTCCTTTCCTTAACAGTTATGTTGGAGCATTCATTTGCGGCGAGTTCCATAGCCCTTGTTTTGATAGTCTCGAAAGCATCTTCTTGACTAACTTCAAGGAAGCTGTCTTTGTGTTTTTCTCTCAGGCGGGGGATGTGTACAAGAGGGTCTTTGGGTAAGTTTCTTTCCTGTACGTCTTCCAGGTCAGAAATTTCATCGAACACTTCTCCCGTGCCGGAAAAAGTATCCTCAATGACGTACGCTGAGACCAAGTCTATGGCCAGCAGAAATATCAAACTGACCAGTAAACGTCTATCCATGGTTGACTAGAAAAATAATTGAATTAGTTTTAAGTTAGTATTTTTAGTAGCATGTATGGAAATATGGCGCCAAAATACTATTTTTAATTATGATTCAGATTTTGGTTCTGGTCGGAAAAAGACTTAAGTTCTGAAAATAAGTAGTTCGAGTAGTTCATCGTTTCCATGCTTTTAATTTCTACATCGTTATTTCGTATTCACTTTTTTATTTTCAATAAGCAAATAATGAATAAGATCCTTATCAAGAGATAAGCTATATCCACCTTTTGAACCACTAAACCCGGATTGTGTATAAGCCGCTTGTATACCATCAAATTTTCAGTTTAGTGTTGTTTTATGACACCGATTACTATACGCTCTTGGAAGTTATTTGTATTTTTTTCGGCTTTCATTTATACAAACTTAAAAAGGCTAGTGGAAAGAAAACACGTGTTCCTTATTTTGAGGATACACAACAACATTCTCAGCTGCTGAGAAAATATCTACTAAATTAAAGTCGTTGTGTGTGAACCGTTAAGCGGGCAAATCTATGCAAATAATGCCGAAAAGAGGCAAGTCAAATGCAGCTTAAATATTCCATTGTACTATGTAGAATTTCGCGATATTTATCTGTTACGAAGAAGCGCGGCTTTTAAAATTACTGAATTTTGGCCACTGAATAAAGTTGAAAAAGCGCTCTCAGACAGGAAAGAAGTTTCATGCTGTGGCAAAGTTTTTGAAAAAAATTAGCTCGATTTTAATCATTCCTCATTGAGTCCTTTTCACCCACAAAACATAGAGGGAAGGTTTACTGGCAATCCCAAACTTGCCGGACCGCTCTTAAGTGGACAGCCACTTAAAGAACGAAATAATACTATAGGTGATTATACTTTCTGGTTGGAAAAAACGACAAATCCAAGACTCCTAGACCCCTCGGTAAAAAAATTCCAGACTCCATGACGTAAAAATCATCCGAAAACGAGACTTCGAGACACATCAAAAGTGACGCTTGGAGATTTCGAGATCGGGCCAAAATTTTCGAGAACCCACGTTTTTCATAGAAAAGTATACATTGTATCTAAGAGTTTTATTTACGTCTGCTATTCAGCTTGTTCCTTATAACTTTAAAATCTGCAAACCATGTACTTTGTAGATGGAGTGACGAGGCACCTACGTCTCCAAAGAGGATCCTAAACTGTTGACTTATCTTACTCTCCCAAGTTTACAGAATTTTTGTAGATTTTAGAAATGGGTTTTAGGCTAAACAGTTTCTTGTGTAGAGAGATCCTAACTAGCAAATTTTATCCTAACAGGTTCTTAAAACACAGGTTTTTAGTGGATGGTTTTTCTGAACTTATAGTTTTCGAGTGAACTAAGTAAAATTCCAAGCAATTGCGTAGAAGCACAGCGAAACGGCTCACCTGGTAACAGATGTTCTATGTCGGCATAAAAATGTCAACCCCAAGTAAAAAGGAAATTCTTTCTTGTTTACATGTCATTCAGTTTGAGCGGACTTTGAAAATACTGTGAAACATAGAAGGCCTGACAACGACACAGTTTTGCCTTGGCTATTAGCAAATTACGTACTAGGCTTCGTCAACCGTAACTTAAAGTTTTTCCCATTCTTCGAAAAAGACCGCCTTCCTATTAGATTAGACAGACTAGCTAAATTTAACGAAATCTTTGAATTCTTTGGTTAAGGCAACATTTATAACTTCCTTCGATTCACATTGATTGTAATTGTCTTCTGTTTGGAGACCATGCTCGGCACACTGTTCACAGCGATCTCAGTTAATGTTATTTTTGAGAACTAAATGCTCAGTTTTTTGCATTGTTTTATTTCAATGACTGTGCAATTTTTATTGTTCAGGATGGCGCTAGAATACATACGGCGAATAAGACATTCCCAGATTGTGAATTCTTTCCACTGTCTATTTGTGCATGTAGTGGCGGAACTTGGTGGCGGGAAGAAGCATCTCGCAGTTTTATTAGTGCGGATGTTTGTGTCTAAAGTGCTGTCTGGACAGGTGCCACTTAAAAAGGAAGGCATATCAAACTTTGCCAATTGCTATGGTTGCGTTTTGGAAGATAAAAGAAAAATATTAGCCTGATTAAGTCTTACCAGTAAACTCCCACTGAAAAAAGTACGGCACAATCGTTCACTCGTCTCCTTGGATTCCCTACAGTAGATGAATTTACTGAGCCCAACTAGACTAAAGTTAACAAATTTATACCCACAACCCGGAAAATTTGTATGATCTATTATCGTCACATTGTATTTTGCCGTTAGGCTTTTGTTCTTTTATTATAAAACGAAACTAAATGAGACAATAAAGTGTGTGAAGAACAAAGAGCAACTGTTAAAAGAATGCGGTCATCTATCTATATTTATACAATAGGCAGCTTAGTGTCTGTTGTGCCTTTTGAACGAGAAAAGTGGCTCAAATAATCGATCTTAACAATTACATTTCCACTGGTTTATTTTCGATTTAATCACTGTCTGCTTGGAAGGATTATATTATACTGGAAATATTTATTATAGCTATTGGCTTGAGAAACTAATAGGTTGTTATGATTTTGTTGTTTTTAAATAAAGCTGTTCCAGTCGGGCAGTTTTTCCGTGGTGCGATTCTGTGTTGTCGTACAAGGTCTGACAAGGTCGGCTCGTGGTTCATTGTCAGAAATTGCTAGAATATTACAGCTGATATTACAAAGCGTTAAACATTTTGTGCTGAGTATGTTTCCTTAACCGGCAAAAGTAGTTCAAATATTCGAACATAATACTGGTTTCCTTGATGTTTCTTTCCTTTTCAAATGTCCTCTTGGAAGGAGAGTGTCATTCTATTGAAACCATTGTGATTCTTGTTTTTTGTTCGGAATCTGTTGAGGTTGCTTATTTTCCTTCTTAATTTTTGTGGTTTTTAATAAAAGCTGTTATAGTTGGATAGTTTTTCCGGGATGAGAGTGGAGCAATTGTCGCATAGGGCTGGCTTGTGTCTTTAATGGGATTTTAAGACCATTTTGATTCTTTGATTCTCAGGCTTTCAGTAAAATTGTTGTCCGGCACAATTGTAAACTTGAAAAAGGTAGATTGGGATATGATTCGAATAAAACGAAAATATATTTCAAACCTTAAATTTTCAATAGCCGTGATAGGTTATGTAATAAAAACGTTATAAATGACTCAAATTATTCTTACGT